TCGAAGCTCTTCGATAAAGACTGGAGCACTATATCGACCTGGGTTTACCCATCAATAAAAGCCCCAAGAACCTCCAGCTCATTCAGCTGGGCCATCATAACAAAAACATGTTTCCTTACGGGAGTGCCCTCACGCATGGTCATGTTCATCAGAACCCTCATGGCCTCTTGTCGGGCAGCACGCGACTGATGACCAAATAACTCCTTGAGATTGAAGAGCATGTCTGCTGCAGTGTTTATAGACTGATGTTGATGTTGAAGTACATTTGATAAAGATGCCAAGATGTAACACTTCGCCATCTCGTCAGCCTTTTTCCACCGAGCATACTCCTCTTTCTCTTGGTCTGGTGCGTTGTCAGCAGGCACAGCCGGACAAGCCTCAATAGTAGCAAATTTTTACCCCTCAGCAGTTAACACAATATCCAAGTTCCTTTTCCAGTCAATATAATTGGGACCAACAAGTTTGTTTTCTTTGAGAATTACGGACAACAGATTGAAAAACATTTTGAATTCCTGGGATTATGCAAACATAGTCATTACTCAGTCAAGTAATTTTGAATTTAAACATAAAATATTAATCCCATGTAACAATATTCAAATAAATTCACCAACACCTCAAAACACGGAATCCCCACAGGCCACGGAGTGTGGATGTCTATGGTTCAAACATTCGCAAGAGGAGGGATAAATCCCATTAGCTTAACATATTGCCAAGCAGTACTTAACTAATAGTCGGTCCATCATTTGGTGTTAGAGGTATGCTGTAAAAGCTATGTTTTGCAGATTCTATCAATTCCATTTTGATCTGGCAATCATGTTTCGGTCAAAGTACATATGTTTGCAGTTTATTTATTTATGCCATACATACTCCATGTCTTATATTGAAGTAGTGTGGTTCGAAGAGTTTCGAACTAAAAGATCACCTATCGGTTCCTTATAAGACTAAACTATTCGTTCACAGTCTAGACTGGCAGTGAGACCCCACTTGGAAAAAGACTGTAGTGTATTCTCGATTTAGTTGGTCTTTGACTGAAGGATTACACTAGCACTTATGTTAAGTGTTGAACAGGACCACAGAAGGATAAGGATATGAGACTCACTGACCGTTGTCGTAACTTAGACCTTCAGTGATTTATGCGTTCTCTTAAGCTGTAAAATAATATAAAATAGGCATATATTTTTGTTTCGTATTTATTTGATTTACCAAGTGATTCCTATTCTGTTAGGATGACATACGAGGTATT